TAATATTGTCCTGAAGGTGCAGAGGTTAAAACAACAACACTGTGGGTTTTAGCCTCTCTGTGATGGATTCCTGCATCTTTGTCATTGTAAATCCTATGGCTTGAGGCTGAGATCCTCTTACTACCCTGCAATTTAGATGCCAATGACAAATAGGAAGACCGTCTTAAAACTGCAATCTAACACCCGCTGGCCCAAATCTGACAATTAATCCTATGTGGCAGGCCAGATTTCCTATTGTTGATGTGTTTAATGGATGGATGCTCCATTGCAGGGCTTTGTTCCAGTGGGAGCTTCTGATTCCCCCACCTGACTGCTAATTCACCTCTTGGCTGATAACTCATGACTTTACATCCCCGTGTCCTGGTGTGTTGGTGATATGGGAGAGTGGTGGACAGCAGTGCCAACGGAGACATCTATGGGTAAATTTCTCTGCTAATAGTGTTTCTGTTTGAATGCTTCAAATATAGAAAGGCACATCTGTGCTGTGCTTTTTTTGGGGGGGATCTGCTAGAGGTGACCCATATTTGTGTTCTCATTTTAAAGCAATAACCTAATTCAGGCTTATCAGCTGTAAGAAAATTTGCCTGTTTCTGTCCTCTGTTTTTAGGAAGCTATGAGATCTCCAGCATATCACATGTGACGATGTCCCCGTCAAGACAGAACAACCTTATGTCAATGTACTCTTCTGCGGGCTTGTCCAAAAGCTCTTACAGTGTGATAAGTGCCTTTTGCACAGAGGACAATATTCCCCAGTGCATTTCATACATCAGTCAGGTACTACAAATGTTCCTTTTGTAATTGCCCTTTATTGCTGTATATTTGTTGTTGTAGCGATGACTCAATGCAACACCATGACTGTGAAATAAGTCCTCTTTCTTTAATAGGAGCTTGCCTCACTGGGCCTCTCATCCACATGTATCAAGGCCAGCTCACCCGGGGGAGCTGGCCTGGACACGGTGCCAGCTCTGAATGCCATGTATGAACTACTGCAGATTCACAGGCGGAATATGTGCACTTTAGAGGAACTGGAGAAAGAGCAGCTGAAGAAATCCAACACATTGGAACAAATGCAAATGAGCAATTCCAGACTCAAGGCATGTATCATGGGGGTGTCAGGGTTGTGTCATAGTCCAGTTTCAGTACAAGACATTGTCTTTTACATTCCTCTCTGGATACAACTCTCTGTACCCACATATTATACTCTGTATACTGTACAGCATGTTATTGAAGTAAATGTGCATTAGTAGATTTCTGACCACAAGAGGGCAGGAAAATGCATAATACAGAAACCAAATGAGGACAAATATTCCAAAGTACTATCCAGGGAGAGCCCACTACTTTCTAATATATTAAATAGCACAGTGATCTTAACAGTTGTCTCAGGTTGTTAGGCTAAGCATACCTTTTCTATCTAAACCTACTAATAAATAAGTGAATGTTATTTGTATCAAAGTGATATTTTAAATTTCATGGTAAAACATTTTGAAAATGGCAATTAGCTGGCCATCATGTAGAGATACTTTTTAAATCCTCAGGTAGCACATACCAGTTTTATGGTTTAATTTTGCTCAGGGATCCACTCTTAAGTTTAACCCTGAACTGATTGCTTGTATAAATCATTGCCAGCTCACATGTACCAATAATAAGAGTTACATGATTGTGTATTTCCTCCCAGGATCAGTTGGAACTGTCCATAAGGGAGAAGTCAGGTTTACATGAGACTGAGAGGCAACTACACCTCAAAATCAAGACTTTGCAGAGCTGTTTGAAAACTGAAAAAGATGAGGTGGGATTTCCTTTTATGTTATAATCAGCAACAATTTTGTAAATGATCCTGATGAGCACTCATGGTTCAATCATATCTGGCAGGTCCAGAAGCTCCAGAGTATCATTGCTAGCCGTGCGTCTCAGTACAGTCATGATGCCAAGAGGAAAGAGAGAGAAGCTGCAAAGCTGAAGGAACGCCTCAGCCAGCTACTGGTTGAGAGAAGGGATAAGAAACTAGGTATACACTCTAGTCTTCAGCAAAGATTTGTACACATTGCTCTTTTTTACTGGAAGTTTTGTTTATTCATCTCATCTGTTTTTTCCCCACTCAGCTATTGATGTACTGAATAGCTTGGGGCGGTCCGATGGAAAAAGGAGCCACTGGAAGACCACAAAAGTCACAGCCAGGTATTTTGGAAGCCATCCTCTCACTTGTTGACCACAGAATTTATAGAATATGTAAGATTAATCATGCAACTGTATTTGTAAATTGCTCTGTGCAGCCATGAGGACGAGATGTACAAATCGTTGCTCAGTGACTATGAGGAGAGGCAGAGGGCCTTGATGTTGGAGAATACTGAACTTAAGAAAGTCCTCCAGCAGATGAAGAAGGAGATGATACATATCCTGAGCCCATGCCAGCCTTCTACCAGAGGAGCCACTGCTGAGGATAGTCAGGTTGAGGGTTTTTTTTTTATTTTGTTGGAGAAGCTTGAAGACTGATTTAGTGACATTCAGCATGCTGGTTTTCTGACCAGATTGATCAGTTGACTAATCATTACACTAACACCTCACATTGTTATGTGTGTCAGTTTTGCATGTTTAAAACTTACCCTGTTTGTTTTTGCTCCAGGCTGATTCAGATGGGGAGGAGAAGGCTGGTGACTCGAGCAGGGAGATGCTGGACCAATCCTGTGAACATGCTAGGGAGCAGCTCACCAACAGCATCCGCCAACAGTGGAGAAAACTCAGGAGCCATGTGGAGAAACTAGACAACCAAGGTGCACACAGCGCTGTTACACATTCTGAAATACTGCAGAAGTAACACCATGTTGTGGCGCTGGTTCTAGAGATGACAATCCTTTGATGTATAAAATGTTTTCTTAGATCAACGGTGTAATGTGAGGTTGTTAAAGAGTTTGTCGAAAAATGTGTAGCTTTTCACTTTCACATTTATTGATATTCATTTATTCATTTATTTATTTATTTTTTATGTATGCCTGTAAGGAAATGGGAGTTTATCAACTGTTGATGTTTTTGTTTTCCAAGCATCTCAAGTGCAGAATGAGATGGAGTCCAATAATGAGGTAATACCAAAGGAGATTCATGAGGATGAGATGGAGAAGATGAGGTGTGAAGTTCAGCAGTGCAAAGAGTTCATTCACACACAGCAGCTGCTCCTCCAGGTCCGTTCCTGTTTATTTGTAAGACCAGAGCTGGTCCCTAGCTCTGTGCAGGTTAAACATAGCATAGAAGAGTTTCACAGCAGTATATAAGAGGCTTCTCGTAATGGGTGTAAATTGAGGGATTAAATATCTGATAAGATAATTTAATCCTTGTTTCTCATTTCTTGTTATTTTTTTAAATTCTTATGCAGCAACAGCTCAACACATCATTTGACGATGAGACTGCAGCTCTTCTTAATGACTGCTACACACTGGAGGAGAAAGAACGTCTAAAGGAGGAATGGAAGCTCTTTGAGGAACAGAAGAGAAACTTTGAGAGGGAACGAAAGAACTTCACAGAGGCTGCTATTCGGCTGGGGCGAGAGGTACTTGGGTCTTCTGATGTGGTACCGCAGTTTTATTCCGGATAGACTTTGGGTGTCATAATTGCAGTAAATTCTCTTATTCTTGTTTTTAACTCCACAGAAAAAGGCCTTTGAAGAGGACTGTGCTTCTTGGCTGAAGAATCAGTTTTTAAACATGACTCCCTTTACAGACCGTAGGAGTTGTTCCTCATCTGACGGTCAAAGTGCCTTATCAATCAGTAAGTCAGTGCAATTTCAAAAAGATCTGCAGTGACACAGCTTCTCAATGGTTAAACTTCTTACTAACAGGACTTTTTCAGTAATTCACAATATGAACGTTCTGCAGCAAAAATCAACTGGTCAGGATGAGCTAGATCAGTCGTTTTTCACTTTGTGTCTTGTTTAGCCTTTCAGAGAAGATGCATATCAATTGTGAATGACACTAACATTTTTAAATAAAAAAACACAAATGGTATGAAATGTTCTACTAATGTTGGACTTCAGTAATTTGATTTTTAATTTGATTATATCACCTGCATTGCAGGAAGTGAGCCAGAGATGAGGATGTCTTCCACAAAGGCTCAGCTGGCCAAATCATTGACCTATGCTACAGTCTCCACTCCTAAACCTACACAAAGTGCTAGTGTTCCATCCACAGCTGAACTTTACCGGACACTCCGTCTGATGCCGGACAGCAGGTATTATTTAGTCACTTGATTATTATTGTTTGTATTTAGCAAAATTTTTATTTGGGTTTCTTAATCATCTGCAGTGCTGGGGATGTTGTTTTACCAGGAATGCTTTGAACCAGTGTAGAGGCTATGGAAATGTTACTTTCTAACTGTGAACAGCGTGTCTTAAGTGTCTTGTAAATGCCATGAATCATGTTGCATATTAATAGCATTAATCTGTAATTTCCTGTTACAGTTCATCCAGACATTCACATCGAGGGCGCTGGCAAGAGTCCAGCACCATTGAAGGTGGAGACACTCGGGTCAAGTCAAAAACCAGAGTTCGATGTGGAAATATCTTCTCTCTGGGTGAAGATGAGAACAGCCTCACCTAAAGAACCTTCGGTGCCTTTTGACATTTTGTGTGTCTGTGAGATTTTGCACTGGACTTAAGCATCAGTCCATGGCTGATGTCTAGCACCACTCCATTTTTGCAGCATTATTGCTTTGTTATGGATATGAACAAATCAGTTACCAAAGCTGGACAAAAAAGAAAGCACTTTAATGAATCTGCCATTGTTTGTACAAACAAATCAACACTGACATTCAGATTTTAAGCTATATTCAGTGGGCGATTATCTGCCAAGTAATGAGAATATACTGCAGTTAGAAATCTTTTTTTTATGTTGATTATATTACATGCTTAGGTTTTTTTAAGTCTAAAATTTACTTTTACATATTTCACATGTGTAAGGTATGTTTTAATGAAATTGTATACTGACATTAGATTGATTAAAGAGAATTTTAAATGAGAAATGCATTTCCTGAAGAAAATGTGTGGATACTGATTGCTGAACAATTGCCCTGAAATGGCTGAAATCCATTATAAAATCCATGCTGCTGACTCAGCATCCACACAATTAATATAGGCTGATTTTATTGAGAGTAAACCTACAACTTTGCCCCAAAATCTATTTTCATAATGTGTTGAAGCCTCTACACACCAGTAGTTCCGCTACTGAGATCTTCTCAGGACTGTTTTATCCACCCAAAAAGGCCCATTCAGTTTTACTATAATGGCAAAAACCATCAAGGCAAACACCACTGGACAAGATGGAAATGTTGGGACTGCAAATCCATTTTTAATGAAAAAGAATGACTGAAACAAATAACTGACTAGAGTCCTACAGGCTGGTGAACAGCAGCCTGTTTGTGGTCAGACAATCTGGACATTGTCTCCTCCCAGCAGCCCACTGCTTTAGATTATGAACCACAAACTCAGCAGAGGGGACATCTGAATCACGCTGACCTTGAAAATTCATTCCTTGATCTAGACTGTGTAGATTCATGACTGGATTAAATAAAACCCATAAGATCACACTTCATATTAAGGTTGTGTCCTGGTGTCTGGGCTCTTTCGGGCAGAATTCACTCAGTGGTACAGGTGCAAAAGCATAAACATCCTGTTTCTCACAGGGTGGGTGTCAAGAAACATGGTGAAAAAAAAATTTGTGGCAAAGCGAAAATTCATTCCTTGATCTAGACTGTGTAGATTCATGACTGGATTAAATAAAACCCATAAGATCACACTTCATATTAAGGTGTCCTGGTGTCTGGGCTCTTTCGGGCAGAATTCACTCAGTGGTACAGGTGCAAAAGCATAAACATCCTGTTTCTCACAGGGTGGGTCACAAGAAACGTGGTGAAAAAAAAATTGTTTTTGAGAGTGATATTGTGGATTCAAATGCTTAGGTAGTATCTAATGTGGGGCTTTTGTTTTGAAATACGTGTGTGTGTGATATGGAGAGGTCTAACCTTGCCATGACAAGCCTTGATTGTCGGGTTACAGTGAAGATAGGTCCACTTGTTAAGAAGATGGCAAAGCGAAAATATTGTAATGACCCCCGGCGTGGATGCCCCCCATGCATCATGTCGCTGCCACCAGACCCCTCCCCAATAGCCGACGTAGGTCGTCACAATATGATTCTGACTATGTTAAGTATAGATTTACTTACATAGATGATAAAAATAGACATAAGCCTCAATGTGTGATATGCCGTGAAGTACTGGCACAAGAAAGTATGAAGCTGTACAAGTTGCCCTGTGCTTGATATACAACACTGAAAGATGTCATAAAAATAGCGCCAAGAACAGCCGCTGTTTCACACAGCTGTGCAAAGGCCCGGGATCAGAGCACATCCAGATTTTAAGATTCTCCCATTAATTTCAATGGGAAAAAATGTTGAAAAAGGGTGAATATTTTAAAAGTAATACAATTTAT